AACTCCCTTAGCATATTATTGATTGGAGCAGCATGCAGGAGGATGCATAGAACCAATGGAGACTGGGGCTGCTGCTTGTGTGTGAGAGTAACAGGTTGCAATACACAATTACTACATTGGTGGTCATTGAAAACTGGCCTATATGTAACATTAATATGAATATGTAATATGAATCTTTAAGCTGTATGTCAACCCAAATTTTATTTTAAGTGGAGGAGGATTAGGACTCCTATCTGATTATTACTACTATCTTATTTTTCATCCCAGTGATAACTATTTTACCAGACAGGAAGTAAAAGAAGATTTGAAACAGAGACTTGAAACAGAGGCAGAAAACAAATCTGATGGGTTCCAGCCCTCACGTACTCTACTAAAGAAAAGTATTTTGTGCTGTAGTTTTGCTTTTGTAGAGTTCACCTCTCTTCCTGTCTGGTAAAACTAGCAGCACAGGAAGTGAGGAAAAATCCAGATAGCAGTAGAAATCCAACATGGGTTCTATTACCTCCAAAAGTAAGCATACTAACAGGGTTATTCACAGAAGGGTGAAGAGTTTGGAGAAGGCTGGAGAAGTGAACAATCTAGGACAACATAGCTGAACCATAAAGTGAGTTGGATAATTTTTCCAAATCAGCTATATTGTCTTAGATTGTTTACTTCTCTGGCCTTCTCCAAACTCGTCACCCTTTTGTGAATAACCCTGTTAGTATATTTGGCTGAACATGCACTTTAAACTCCCAACAACCTAATTTGCCTAACCGTGTATAGTTTACTACATGCTAGCTTCGGTACTTTTAATTTTATTCATTAAAACAAAATGGTATAAGCTAAATTCTCCTTTTTAATTGTTATACTACTTGGTTAATAGAACCTTTTTTTTCATAGTGTTTTACTTATTTAATTTTTTCACTTTACAGAGTAAACAGGACCTTACACAACTTTTCCTGCTACTGAGGAAGCAGAGTAGAGTCGGATGTCTTCACTAAACACACAGAGGGGAATTTATCAAAACTGGGGCATGCAAAATCTGGAGCAGCTGTGCACGGCAACCAAACAGCTTCTCTCTTTCATTTTCAAATCTTACCTGAACAAACTGAAGAGAGAAGCTGATTGGTTGCCCTCAGCTCCAGATTGTGTCTTTTCCAGTTTTGATAAATGCCCCTCACAATGTCTAGCATCAGTTTTGCCAAAAAACAATTAACTTACTAGTGCGCATTTTGACTGATTCAGGAGGGCACTCCAATAGAGTAAAAAAAAATCTATATCAAGTGGGGTCTCAGTTTGGATTTAAACCTAAGCCCTAGAACTTCATATATTAAAGTGACATTAAAGTCTATTTTTTTGCACTCTCCCCATTCTTGCTGTAGTGACTTACCTTAAATGATGCCTCTTGATCCGATCATCTTCTTCCTTCCTGTAGTTTCCAGCAGTCCTTCCAGAGCTGGTCTCTGACTCAGCGCCGACTACTCCCTGCCCCACGGAGTCTATGTGGCGTGCACGCTCATGGATGCAGGCATTGACTTCTATTGAGTCTCTCCCCGCCGGTGATCTCTACTGCGCATGCGCCCGCCCTGGTCTTCCTGCACAGCAGTTTGGGGAAGCTGGATGCTGCAGACGGGAGCGAGCGGCAGAGACAGAGGTAAGTATTTACCTATTTGGTAACTTTTTTTTTAATGGTTTTGCATATATCTACTGCTTGCTAGCAGTAGATATATGTAAAAAAAAATAAAACTTTCATTCTACTTTAACTTTGAGAGTTTCTATACTAATTCAACCCCATGCCACCTCCATTACCAGAGCAGATGTAGTAGCCTACTAACTTACCACCAAATCTCTATACTTATCTTGATCTCACCACTGTAGTCCACCACAATGTTTGGTCATGTTGCCTAATGTCTACATGTGTGCAGTCCGGCCCCAGAGACTTCTATGAGGCCAATACATGTACAGGAACCGGTCCGTCTTACTGAACTGTGCATTGCCGGACATCTGGAGAAGCAGGTGACAGGATCCTTGCAAACTATATAGTGAGATCTATGTATAGATATTTCTTAGGGAATATTGATCTGCAATAATTTGTGTCATATATCTGCCTGCAGTTCAGCATTTAGTAATGTCAAGATTTTTGTATGGTGTTTGAATAACCCAACATCCAGCAATTCTTATCTCACCCCCTTCCATTAACATTATTTAATGTACGTAATCTAAAAGGGAAGGCTTTGCTCTGGGGTTGTGGTATATACTATAATAATCACCTGTATATTGTTTGAATTCAGGGACTGTTTTTTTATTGTATTTGATGGTTGCAGATTGTGAGCTACTAGGAAGTATTATTGTTTTTCTTACCTGTTACTTCTAGATAAGGCCGGATATCTTGGTAACTGAATTGTATGTCATCTTCAACTTTGAAATGGTAAGTACCTTCATCTTCATACAATGGATCTTCTATGTAGAGGGAGCAGTCCCCTCTCCATACATCTCCAACCAGAGAGAATTGTCTATACCTGCCAAACCTGAACTTAGACCTACTAGAAGCCACAATATTCTCATCCTTATTGTACCAAATTCCCACAGCATCTCTGGGTAAGTATTTAATCTCAGATACAGTAAACCGGCATGGAATGTACGCACACAATCCTCTCTGGACCGTTACATGTTGAGGAGCATTTATACTGAATCCTGGAATCGATTCACTGCCAATACCTGCCAAAGAAAAAATAATTTTTTGGGGGGTGGGGGATTCAGACAATTTCCAGAGCTTCTTCACACAACATAGATATGGTCATGCATGTTTCTACATTTTCCAGGTTTAAGGAAAGTCTGCCCATGCCCTATCTGAAAAAAAACTTCAATTTTATATTGCTGTTTGTAGATTGTTTGATTACTTCCTGTCCTGCTCACAAGATAGCCAAGAAAATCTCCCCATAGGGGGCTGTAGACAGTAATGAAAAAAACCTGACCAAGGTTCTAAGCTTCCCCCTCTCAATTCAATGTTAAAAATAAAAGTATTAGCTGGAGCTGAAGTTTAAAGCCCAACTGTAGGCTCCCGAGTTGCTAGTCCCCAGTCCACTAGCTGTATTTGATGCCTTTTTTTACATACATTGATTTGTCTTAAGTGGTCCTCTTCCTGTTTGGATCTTTAGTCAGCGTTGAGTGTTCTTCAATGATGCAGAGAGAGTAGCTCACATAATGAGGTCTGCTCTCTTCACCATCACACAATGGGATTGATTTACTATGTAAAGGCAACTAGGCTCTTCACTTTGCAAGGGAATTTGCACTTAGCAGGGTAAGTCTGGCCTAAGTTTAGTGAGTGATGGGGAAGCTTTGCTGACTTCCATTACCCAATCACGTTCAAGAAAAAATGCTGTTTTTTAAAATTTTCCTTGCACATGATTGGGTATTCTTTACAAAGTGAAGTTTTACCACATTCACTAAGCTAAGGGAAACTTTCCCTGCAAAGGGCACATTTCCTTGCAAAGTGAACAGCCTATTTACCTTTAGTAAATCAATCCCAACGAGTGCAAGGTGCTGTGGTGACACTCTCTCAGGAGGTGGGTCCATGACTCCCTGTACTCACAGTAAGCTTTCAGTCTTAAAGGATGAATGATGTCCAAATTGAGGAAATCTAGTGGCCCAAAGGAATTACTGCCAGCCACAGTGCCAGAGATGAGGTGAGTATTCCACTTTTTTTGTTTTTACTACCAATAATTTTCTTTTGCAGAGCTTCAGGTACCACTGCTGTCCTGCACTTTGGGGTGTGTGGAATAGTGTGTCCTCTGCTGCTCACTAAACCTGCCAGCCACTACTTCACTACATGACACAGAAGACAAAGGGAAGTACCGCAGCAAGTGTTGGGGGATCAGGTTAATTTTGCTTTTCAAGTTCTCACTCTTTGAAGTTAAATGCATTCAGAACCATAAAGACACTGCTGACTGCATATAAAACAAACTATTTTACAGGGACTTGGTTTTCATCACATACTGTATGCTTGAATGACTTTTTAGCAAAACAGTGCCAGACACGAATACAAGTTATACTCACCACTCCACAGATGGGATACAATACAAATAAGGAAGTGGTTAGAGCGCCGGTGATAACTAATTTTTTGTGGTTTCATATTAGAAGGTGTTAGACAGTCCAGAATTCCTAGAATAATACAACAAACTTGTCAGTATCTGGTGATGACTTCAAAGAGATGCTAATGTGCAAACAAAGAACCTGACAAAGAGGTCTAATGCACTTTCAGACTATAAGTTTACCCCCAAATATAAGACAGCGGTCTGAAAGTGAAACTTCAAACAATTTTTTTTTTGGGAAGAGTGTTTAGGGTTCAGAATCCCATTTGTGTTTTTATGTCCTTGCTTAGAAAATGTTCCCCTTAAAGTAGAACTGCAGCCAAACCTTTTTTTAGACTAAGATCAGTTATAAGTCCTATGAACTTGTTTTCCATCCATGTGTCCCATTGGTGACATTTTCCACAATTTAGCCACAACAGGAAGTGTGAGGGAATCACTCCAAAGTAAGAAAAATCACTGGTGGTCAACAAGGTCACCGAAACTAGCACCCCCATTGGAAGATTTCCCATCTAATCCTGTTCTGGTGACAACCTACATTTTGAATTTTATTTCACTTTTAGTGATGATGGTCACCAGGGCAAATAGAGAGGGTAAATCTCCTTAATGTGGACACAAACAGCAATTAAAACCTTAAAGGTGATCTAATCCCTCTCTGCTTCATCCAAAATGTAAAAAAAGTGTTGGCTTCAGTTGCATTTTAAGTATCATCTAATTTTTGTTTACAAAAACTATGCAAACCACTTACTATTTACATCTAGTCTATAATTAGGGATGCACCAATATATCGGTCACTGAAACATAGCGGCTAAAAATTGCACTTTTGGCTAAATGCCGAAAGTGCCTTTTTTGTGCTGAGACAGCAGCACATTCCTGCTTTCTTTCCTCCTCGCTGGGTGCTGCTCTGTGTCCCAGCGGGGAGGAGAGAAGGTGTGACAGCCGACCGAGCATTGCGGGAGGAGAGCGATGTGAGCGGCCGGTGTCTCTCCTCCCACACCGCTAAGCCTCCTGTCACAGTCCGGCAGAGCGGTGGGGGGGCGGAGAGAGCCCGCGATGTGACAAGAGACTGAGCTCTCCTCCCTCCACCACCCCGCACACCTACTGTGACAGCATGTCAGGTAGGAGAGCGGGTACAAGCACTCAGCGATCAGTGATCGCTGAGTGTTTGTACATAATTGAGGACAGAGTATGTGTACTATATCCTCAATTATGAATGAATGGGAGGGATTTACATCTCCTCCTGTTCATTCATGATTGTGGTTATGGTAAACATACTCTGTCCTCATGTTATCAATGAACAGGAACACTCAGTATAGAGGATTCCTGTTCATTGATAACTGGGGATACATAAAAAGAGATTGAGGACTTTGTGTCCGCAATCTATTTTTTCATTTAAAAGGGAAATATCAGGGGTCTGTTTAGACCCCTAATATTTCCCCAAAGCCCCTAAAACTAAAGTAAAAAATACAAAATATTTAATAAAAAATGAATTAATAAATAAAAATAA